AGAGCGGTGTTCGCATGGATGGAGCCACGTATTGCGGGAAGAAACACTGCAAAACATGAACTCGAACCATTTAATATCGTCGATTTTTTTTTTGTTGTAATAGATTTCGATCGATATATAAGTGAAAATGCTCAAAATAAAAAACGTACGAGCTCGGGTTTCGTGGTGGAGGTGCAAGACTCAGGCAGGCCCTTGGCAGATCCCTGGACACATTATTGTATCTCCCTTTGGATTAATGACCAGACATAACTTGAAACTCAGATGAAAGAGAGGAAACGAATGTATACATGCAAAGCGACGACTTTACTGTAATAAGATTCGATGTATGATCCTCCTGAGATATCCTTCCTGTTAATTAATTTACAAGAAACTTTTATGAGTATATATATATATCATATCGAGTTTTTGATACATATTTTTGGTGGTTCGGATTAGAATTCGTACCCGTGGATGAAGTAACCGGCGTCGGAAACACACTTAACATTGGCGGAAGAGGGAAGAATGGCACGGAACTGGTCGCAGTGCAAAATCGCGGCCAATGCTCCAGCCGAACAACCCGAAAGTATGGCCTGAATATATATATATATAAATTTATTAATTCAATGCTCAAAAACATAACCAGATATTGGAAAATACAAGGAGGAAAATGGTTGTTGATATAGTAAATGAAGATGGATATATTACATTTTGGGCCTTGTTCATTCCCTTTGCCATGAGATCATCGATCACCGCACGCCACACTCGGGCTCCTCGGAAGAACAGTTTGTTAGACTGAAAAAGTTGAATCCATTATATAAACTCTATATATTGGAGAACGTAGACAATATGGACTGACACGATCTGAATGATTGAATGGTTATATATACCGGATTAACGGCCTCAACATCGCCGGTGAATGAAGATCCGTCACAGTACCGTACTTTGATTCTGTTCCAGTTGTAGAAATCTGAAAGCTCACATGAAATCCAACCATATCATCAGCTCCAAGAAAACAGGATCATGGAAACATGTTATGGGGAAAAAATCAAAGGAATGTGACTGATGAGATCTAATAATGGACCTGGATTGGAGCTCTGTTTGCTGCCCAAGATTCCGGAGAAGCCGAAGTCTTTGTTCATGAATTTGGACGAACCCTTCATCGTGTTCTTACGCTCGCTGCATGACGCTATGTCATTGCACCATCCTCCTCCCTAGACATCCATAATTCCATATCCCACAAAAAAAAAAAAAGAGAAATTCGAAGGTCAATAAAACAGCATTCGCATGTCCAGGATTTGTTATAATTATAAGTACCTCCATGTGAACGATCCAATTATTCACGCCCGAACCAGACCCCTTGTCGAAATGGTAAGCCGGTGGACTCCCATCCAAACACACTGCGATTAAATATTAAGAAAAACGGAAATAAATTTATAACGAATCCCATAATTCAACAAATATTGGCAGACAATAATTTGTATTTTTTAATAATGCAAAATGGACCGTTGAATAAAATGAAGAAAAAATTAAGAGTACCGGCGCCTTTGGCAACGGCGCTGTCGAGATATGTGATGGGAACGGCTCCGGCTCCGATCATCAACAATGCCAACACGACCACAATTGACCGCCATTGCTGTTGTCTCCCCATTCTCTGCAAACCCATTAATCTCACCATTATTTTTAGCTAAATATTGTTTTGATTTTGATGTTTCATTTAATTTTACTAGTAGTGATGATGATTCCATCATATATTATCACTACTCATTACTGAACATTTTTTTTCTGTAACATTGCGTTTTTGCTCCACATCAAATGCATCACGAGATATTGTCGGATATCTCTAATAAAATTTTATCGGCAAATTGTAATGAACAGTAGATCCAATATCGGTGATTTTGTTTTGTAATTGCCCATGAACCAGATGTTGGAATGGCTCCAGAAAAATTACACGAAATATAAAATGATATAGCTGTTATTATAAATTGATAATGAGGTAATTTTAAATAAATAATATAAATTTTTCATAACTTTTTTTTCCCGAAATGACTGATCCGTGCATGTGCGTAATTTTTTTTTTAACGACGTCATTACTTTTTCCCGACAAGATGTAGTTGGCTGTAATAAATTTGCCAGAACGTTTAGTCCGCCGATCCATAATTCATCGCTTATATTATAACGTGACACGTGTGGTTATCGATTATTTAAACGATATACTGCTTTCAGGGTCCACCTCTATTCGTATCCGATCTGCATGAATAGTGGCTGAAGAAATAAATTGTGTTATTTTCCAAAAATAGCCCTCAAAACCTAGCACTGTAGTAATTTCAAGCCCAAGCCTTCAGTGGTAATATTTTCCAAAATTTTCCAGATTACATTCTCAGGGATCGATAGATCATCAAACCAGATAAAAAAAATAATGATTCTGATACGAAGAAAAGGAAACATATATTATAAGGTTCGTACGTCAATGAAATTCAAAACATCATGATAATCAACAACAACAATGGTTAAAGAGAGAATATACCAGCAGTAACTTGATATATATATATATATGTATGTGTGTGTATCTTCTCACTATATGTATATATATGTCTGTATGTGTGTGTGTATCTTCTCACTGCTCAGAATAGTCTAAAAGCATAATAAAAGGACTGAAAAAGATATTCTAAATCATCAAAGAGATAATATTTCATCAGAAGAAATTAAGCTTACCTTGTGACAATGGTGCCCTTCGAATTCTTCTTTCTTAGTGAAAAAATGGAGGATTTATTTCCTATTTTTGGGGTAAAAGAGAGATTTAGGTTTCTGCAAAAGAGTAAGTTTTGGAAGCTCTTAGAAGCAGCCGGGCCTCATCGTCCCTATTATATAACTACAGCTAACGGGTCCACACGTTTATTTACTAAAAAAATAATTTTTTTTCTATTTCTTTAAAATAAAATATTATCAATACGCAAAAAGACATTTAAAAATGGATGGAATTTGGTTAAATGTATACAATATCTACTGTTTAGAAATATTACAAAAAATAGAAAAATATTCTTAATACTTATTAAAAATCCGATTTTTTTAACTTTTTTTAGTAAATTCGGTTATCAATATCCACATATGTCTAGTAATTCGTTTAAATATTCAAAATCTGAATAATCAGTAAAAAAATTAAAATTCATTTTTATTCGAAATCAAATACAAATATAATAAAATTGTTGAATATCTCTAAAATTCTTATATATCTATATCATATTAATAAATAGATAGAAATATTCAAAAGTCAAGGTGATAGAAGAAACAATAATGTGTATAGGGTCTATACTTAATGCCACATTAAATTGCATTGTATGCATATGTTTCAGTTTTCAATATAATTTTTAATAATGTTGTCAAGTGGTAACCCCTTTTATTAGCTATAATCCGAAAAGCTTTTCTATAAAGAAGCCCCTCGTTTCAAATTTCAATTTATGATTTACTTCATTATTTATAATATATAATACTATCTCGCAAATTAGAAACCAATGGATAAAATAATCCAAACAGAGTTATAGAGACAATATCTTGCTTTTAGTTGCTAAAATAATGTATCTTTTTCACCTCGAGACTTCAGATTCCAGTGTAAAAATGATTCAAATTTAAAAGATAATTATATTTAAATAATAATAATAACGTTTTAACCGCTGGCAACATCTCTGTGATATAGTGGGTCAAAGAGATATTCCTCATGTACACGGAAATTACGAATTGGATGGAATTCAGATACTTACAAAAAAATCTATTTTAAATCTTAAAAAAAAAATTATGATACAAGATTTCCATCTACCAACCGATCAATTTTTTTATGATAAATGCTTATATTACTCTTGTGGACATTAAGATAGTTTAATGTGACTCAACATTGGTGGTCCATTGGGTGAGAGATGACAAAGTCATCTTCAAGGTCTTGGGTTCGATTCTATTGGTGGGGAGGGATGTAATTTCTGAATCAAAATGGTCCATATACAAAAACTTGTCTCAGACCTAGGATGAATGTAGTAGGACTGAAGATACGGGAATCATCCTGGTTATAAAAAAAATAGTTTAATGTGAGTACTGTAATAGAGGTGTCTTGTCTTAGGGAGTGTCGGTGATCCAATTCCAAGTGCACCGAACAGGAGCTGCTGCCGAACAGCCTAATATTTCTATTTGTTTGACCTTTTCGGCTCAATCGTTCCATCATTGATTTGACTTTTATTATATTCTTATCGAAAAAATTCCACCTTATTTTTATATATACATATATTTTGTAAAATATTATATATATATATATATATATATATATATATTGGTTAAACGTAAACTCTATTGATAAACTGTGTGCTGGCAGGGGTGGGTGAATTTGATTTTCTCCACCAGAAATCAAGAGACAGAATCAGCTAAACAGAAGTATAAAGCTGTAGCTAAGATTATTTATTATTCCAAAAAAAATGAGATTACTAGCTCATGGAAATTCGGGAGCTTTTTATTGTTGGCTATAGTAAAATTTGGAAACTCCAAGTATTGCTAATCAATGAGTTAAATAAATCGAGATATGATTTACTGTTGAAAACTATTTTAACAATTTTTTTCCTAAAACAAGTGACGTTCATGAAAAAAAAAACTAATTTTCACATTTTGCTAGTAAGTTATTTATTGTTCTTCCCATTATATTACCATAATATAATACAGCTAGAATCTAGAACGTAATCTACACAAAAGAAAAATGTCATCCCCACAAATATTATCGATATTTCAAAGATTGTTGTTACAAAATCCAATATGCGAAAAAATTTAAAAAAATTCAAAATTCATATAAACACAATCCACATGCATGAAACACCTAATTTCTAATAGTATATCAAAAAATCAAATGAAAAATTTCATTCCAAACACTTATTTCACTTGTATATATATATATATATATATATATCGTATCTTGGAATATCTTCATTTGTTGGGTTGGTGTAGTGTACGCGGATTCGATTAGATGTTTAGCGACGTATCTTTCTTGTTTTTGTCGGATTCTATCTGATGAGCTACCGAGCACCAAGCTCGTACGTACCTTTAAAACCTCAGAAGCTGACATTGATATTTATTCGTTGGTTGGTTACATATAACATTATTCCGTCCAAGTGATGAACTTTAGAAAATTGTTACGGCCACACATACAATTTAAATATCAAACAATAACAAAAACAACGACGATCATAATAACAATATTAGTCCTCGAATTTCATAAAATTAAAATAAAATATTAGTCCTCGGAGGAAACAGCGGGACAAGTGGGGTTGCATGGGTATGTCGGACAGTCAGTCTTCTGGAACGGGCTTCTGTCATAAAACCAGTCCCCAACGGCCTTCGCAATTTTCTGAAATTTTTTAAAAACGTACCATATTATCTGACAAAATCAAATTTGTAACCAAAAATATATATTGGAAATTCTAACCTCAGACCAGTATAATAGAGGATCCGATTTTTTAAAAAAGAAAACCAGAATTTAATAACCTTGTTATAAAAGAAACGAGGGTTTTTTTTTTGCATATATATAAAAAAATTATTCTAAATATTTAATTAATTACCGTGTTACCGACGGAGGGGCCTTTGGAGCCGGACCAGGAGGCGGCGCTCCCGCCTTGGCAATGAGCATGGCACGAGTCCAAGAACAGCCCTCTCGACGTCGTGCTGTGAACCGGAGCCAATGCACGCAATATCTGATCCCGGAACCCTGATATTATATTACCCAACCGGTTCGGTTCAAATTCGGTTTAGTCAAATTCTCCCATGTTAACCCGAAAACACAATTTCGGTACTCAGTTAATTACCTTGAACGGTTCGGAGCTGAGCGGGCGTGCATTTCTTCAGGTCGAGCTTGCAGTCCTTCCACTCTTTACGTTTATCCACAGCACTCGGGGCCAAAACGTTCTTGATCTGGCAAAATTCATATATTTCATCAATAATCATATACAGAACCAAAAAATATTGCCCTTTGGATATTGTATCTATATATGTACGTATAACATAAGAACTAACCTGCCATGAATCGAAAGCGGCGTTCACGACGAACAGCGGAGTTCTCATGGAAGGAACCACGTATTGCGGGAAGAAACACTGCAAAACAAAACAAAAGTTCAAATATGAACCGTTTGGTGTCGTTGATCGTCGATAGACGTGAAAAAAATATCATGGAGATGAACATACGAGCTCGGGTTTCATCCTTGAGGTGCAAGAAACAGGTAGGGTTTTTGCAGATCCCTGGAGCAAGTAACTTTATAACATTAGCAACGACCAGAGACATACCTCAAAACCCTAGAGAATCACATCAAAGGAAACATACGTGCAAAGCGACGACTTTACTGTAATAAGATTCGATATATGATCCACCTGTAATATCCTTCCTGTTACAAGAAACACAATATGAATAAAGCATATGAATAAATATTCGTACGAATGAATTGCAGGTATATTATCGTATGAAATATTCGTATGGATTAGAATAGTACCCGTGGATGAAGTAACCGGCATCGGACACACACTTAACCTTGGCTGTACGAGGAAGAATGGCATGGAACTGGTCGCAGTGCAGAATGGCGGCCAATGCTCCAGCTGAACAACCCGAAAGTATCGCCTGAAATTTTTTTAAGACCTTTTAAGGTTAATACTATACTCAAAAGGATATATTTAAATGGTGAAAAGATTTAATACGTTTAAGAGAAATGTTTTGTGCATGGTGTTTGAATATGGATATATTACATTTTGAGCCTTGTTCATTCCCTTTGCCATGAGATCATCGATCACCGCACGCCAAACTCGGGCTCCTCGGAAGAACAGTTTGTTCGACTGAAAAAGTTGAATCCATTATATAAAACTCTATTGGAGAAGGTAGACAATATGGACCGACACGATCTAAATGATTGAATGGTTATATATACCGGATTAACGGCCTCAACGTCGCCGGTGAATGAAGATCCGTCACAGTACCGTACTTTGATTCTGTTCCAGTTGTAGAAATCTGAAAGCTCACATGAAATCCAACCATATCAGTTCCAAGAGACAGGATCATGGAAACATATTATGGGAAACATATATATTAACGAACCTGGATTGGTGCTCTGTTGGCTGCCCAAGATTCCGGAGAAGCCGAAATCCTTGTTCATGAGCTTGGACGAACCCTTCATCGTGTTCTTACGCTCGCTGCATGACGCTATGTCATTGCACCATCCTCCTCCCTAGACATTCACATTACCACATCCCAACCCAATTTTTTAAAAAATAATAATTAAAGTTCAATAAATTATACGACCCTCATTCGTATCTACTATTGTTTCTAAGTATTCAACAAATAATGCAAGGCATACCCAAACAGAGAAATTCAAAGTTCAATAAAGCAGCATTCATATATCTAAGATTTGTTATTATAAGCACCTCCATGTGAACGATCCAGTTATTCACCCCTGAGCCAAACCCCTTGTCGAAATCTGAAAGCTCACATGAAATCCAACCATATCAGTTCCAAGAGACAGGATCATGGAAACATATTATGGGAAACATATATATTAACGAACCTGGATTGGTGCTCTGTTGGCTGCCCAAGATTCCGGAGAAGCCGAAATCCTTGTTCATGAGCTTGGACGAACCCTTCATCGTGTTCTTACGCTCGCTGCATGACGCTATGTCATTGCACCATCCTCCTCCCTAGACATTCACATTACCACATCCCAACCCAATTTTTTAAAAAATAATAATTAAAGTTCAATAAATTATACGACCCTCATTCGTATCTACTATTGTTTCTAAGTATTCAACAAATAATGCAAGGCATACCCAAACAGAGAAATTCAAAGTTCAATAAAGCAGCATTCATATATCTAAGATTTGTTATTATAAGCACCTCCATGTGAACGATCCAGTTATTCACCCCTGAGCCAAACCCCTTGTCGAAATGGTAAGCCGGTGGACTCCCATCCAAACACACTACAAGACGTGGAAACAAAAGAGACAAACTTTAATAATAGAGAAAATAATTAAATAAACCCCATTTTCGAAATATGGACAATATATATTTTTTATATAAAAAATGGTTATATGTAAATGTACAATAGCTCTTCCGTAAAGGATATGTATGATCAACCATAAGAATTCAGTTAATCAGAAAAATTTATGTATTTGGATCGTACCGGCTCCTCTGGCGACGGCGCTGTTGAGATATGTGATCGGGACGGCTCCGGCTCCGATCGCTACCAATGCTAACACTATCACACTTGCCCACCATTGATTTTGCCTTCCCATTCTGTACAAACAATCTCATCATTTTAATTAGCTCACGTGTTTATATATATTTTTTTAAATTTGATGTTTTATTTTAGTAGTAGTAACGATGATTCAATCATACATTATAACATTTTTTGGTAATATTAGTTTTCTTCCACATCAAATGGATCGCGAGATCTTGTCGGATCTCCAACATTATTGATGTGGTACAATGAATTATTAATCCAAGAACGTTTTCTTGAAATCTTGTCATGGGCCCACTTGAAGCGAGGCTTAAAATAAACCAAAAAAAAAAGAGAAGCTTTTTTTTCAATTTAAATAAAGAAATGCATCGGGACCGTAGATTATTAAATAGAAAATTCAGAACATACGTGAGAAAAAGCCATGAACAAAGTGACCAATCCATGTGCGTGTTTTAAATCTTTTTCCCGTTATAACTTTTTCCAGACAAGCTTTCTTTCACTGTAATAATTTGCTGACGGTGTATAGTCCACCAAACCATGATTATTTCGTTATTACTATTATTATTATTATTATTATTATTATTAATTAAATAATTGAATTTACTCTAAATACCCAATAAGGCTTCTTCAGGGGGTGCCCATTCATATCAAATCTATATGAACGGTAGGTAGCTGAAGATATTATGTATTTTCCAAAAATAACCTTCAAACCCTAGGCACTAGGAACAGTAATTTCACTAATTTGAAGGTGTTGGGACGGCTAAAATGGGTATCCTATGTCCTGCTGTATAATATTCGATCTATAGGACCGCAGCAGCAGAGCAGACCATTGAAAATCTAGTGACTTTCCAAAAATAACCTTCGATCTAAACTCTACGAAACTGTTAAACTTTAAGCCCAGATAGGATCTTAAAGCCAGAAAGATCAACCAAATAAATAACTTAAAAGTCAGAAAGATCAACCAAATATAAGGTTCTTAATTTCAATGAAATCCATCTAACATTTTAATAATAACACCATGGGATTTGAAATCATATTACAAAAAAAAATGGAGTTTATATATCGCACGATATATTGAATAAGCATATAAATAAATGTTTTGATATACTATAAATTAAGAGATTATTACTTCATTTCTCCTCTCTGAATCATCAAGGTATAAATCAAAAGAGATAAGAACTGAAGAACAAAGCTTACCTTGTGACAATGGTGCCCTTCAGATTCTTCTTTTCTTACAAAAAAAAAAGTGGAGTTTTTTTTTTGGCTCTTTACGTGAAATGAGTAAAGCTTTGGAAGCCCTTAGAAGCCGTGCCTCTCTCGTCTCTATTATATAGGGGAATCCACGTGTTTTTTTATATAAAAAAGTTTTATTTTTGTATTTATTAATTTTAGTAAGGTTCTTTTGCTTTAATTACGCTAAAAAAAGGGGGGCATATGGAGAGGGCATAGCGTGTGTGAGTGAGTAGATTCTGCCAGTTCACGAGTGTCATCCAACGGGCAACGTCACAGAAACTACGATGTCTCTCTATCTACTTGTCTTTATTTAATAATCTTAAACCTTAAAAACCTTATATTATTATTATAATTGCACCACCTATCTGTATATATGTACCTCGATTTATATAATAATCTTATTAGATTAAAAATATATATAAAAAATAATTTACTAAAAGAATATGTTTAACAAGAGAGGGGCACACTGAAAGAGACTTTTTTGAAAAAAGTGGGTGAGGCGTCTTCGAGAGCGTCGGTGGTCCAAATGCACCGAACCGGAACGCGGAAGCTGCTGTTTTACATCATTCGTCGTTATATAATATAAAATTTTATTTGAATTATTATGCTAACAAAATCGTTCTACAACGAAGGAAATCTCCGCTGCAACTTTGACGGATTTTCAATTATTTTTGTTTCTATTTTATATTATCGGCAGAATGATGGACTCGAAACCGCGTAGCAGACAGACAGCATATGGGTTCTGACTGTGTTGACATAAACTTTTATAATAATTTTGCCGCTCATACAGTTTTATTCGAAGAATAAATTTATGGGTCAAGTGATTTAGTTTGCATATGACTGATAATCAAAATAAAATTATATATCTGAATTTGGGATTTTTAATGAAACACGAAAACTACATCTGGTAATAGTTAATGTATTTTTTAAGACAACTACTTGTGTTTGGTTCGTAGTTGTGTATTTATGAATTTTTGGCATGAAGGTGACATTTTCAGCATCAACCTGTAACATCATGAACGTTATCCATCCAGTAATCATCCATCTAGCTCTCTCTCTCTCTACATACATACACACACACGCGCGCGCGTGTCCATACAATTGGGATGCTTAATTTAAAAAAAAAAACGTGGTAACTGATATTAAAGAGACGAAAAAGATATGGCTGAGAAAGAATATGACATTATTCGATTGGGACAAATAATCAAATAGATTGTGTCACTACACGTTATGAATGGGAAGAGAAACAGAGCAAGCAGCACACGAAGGGCGAGTGCCGAAGAATTGCTCTCTGTCTGCTTATTCTTAAAACTTTGATCAATCACACCTTTTTCTTCTGTATAACTAAAACCTAGAAATCTTACTCTCTATGTATATATGCGAATCAGCATCATCATCTATAACGGTGGAGAATCTTGAGGGGCAAAAACCCGGTTGTGGCAAGTGGGGTTGCAAGGGTAAGGGCAATCTATCTTCTGGAACAATGTTCTGTCATAAACCCAATCTCCAACAGCCTTTGCTATTGTCTGCTCATCAAATAATAAAAAAAAGATTAGGAGAATGTGTTGATTGTAAGAGTTTTGATGTTAGATGTTTCAAGATTTGGAGAAGAGTTTGATGATGTTACCACTCTGTCTAGACGGGGAGAGTCCGGCCAGAACCAAGATGTTTGGGATTCGGTTTGGCAATGAGCGTAGCATGAGTCGATGAACATCCCTCTGGATGAAGATTTCCCGAGGCCTATGACCGCGCTCAAGAACTCTAACCTGAAATCTGAAGAAAACCCGAAATGCTAGTCTTTAATATCTCGGAACATTTCAGCCTTTCCGCCATTTTTCTAAGCAATTCAGGTGGCTTTTGGTTTCGAGGCTCACCTTGCATGACTTTAAGTTGGTTCGGCTGGCAATTCTTTATGTCAAGTTGACAGCTTTGCCATTTTCCATTAGGATCCGCAGCTCGAGGAGCCAGGATGTTCTTTATCTGAGGAAGGAAGCATTCAGGATCAGAAATTTCACTTCGACATCTCAAAGATATCTGATGTTAATCATGCGAGCAAAACGAATAACAAAATCCGCTCTTGAATGACGCAACGAAACCAAGAAGTACCTGCCAGGAGTCGTAAGCTGCGTTAAGAACGAAAAGAGGAGTTCGGATGTGCTGAGCCACATATTGCGGGAAGAAGCACTGTCATTTCCTAAGCTCTGGTCAGTAAAAACAAACACAAAGGGTTTGAAGAGAAACCCTCCTCAAAATCGAAAGCTTACCAATGCAGGGTTTAACCTTGATGTGCATGAAAGCGGTAAATTTTTTGCAGATCCCTGAAAAACAAGTCATAAGTGTCCCCATATTCCAATACATGGACCCAACTTGTAACTAGAAAGAAAATCTTGTAAGCTTACATGAAGGGTAACCACATCTTTAAAGTATTCTCTGATGTATTCAGCTCCAGAAACATCCCTTCTGAAACAGACAAGAGATTTCGATTGTCAGATCGTGTAAGAAAGTTGCACACAAGGAGATATAACTTCTGGTTTATAAAGCTTTTTTGTAGAGAGGTAATGGCCTCACGTATTCACAAAAAACCCGGCATCTGAAATACATTTTACTTTGGAACCCATTGGTAGGAGAGCTCGGAAGCTGTCACAATGCAACATCGAAGCTAACCCACCGGCCGAACAGCCAGACAGAACAGCCTGCCATAGTTTAGCAACGTTTAGACATCATCTTCAAGATCTAGGAAACAAAAAAGAAGAAGAAAGCAGTCCAGACTGACAGAAAATAGCGATAAAACTCACATTCTCGGCATTTCTCATGCCCTTAGCTAGCAGATCCTCCATGACAGCTAGCCAAACCCGACCACCTCTGAAGTGAAGATTAGTGTCCTGATCATATCACCATCCGATTAACAAATAAGGAAGCACTCTTCTTCCACCTTAATCACAAAACATTCTTATGTTTATCTCTTCGAAACTTACAGGATCGACAGTTTGCACATCACCAGTGAATGATGACCCGTCACAGTATCTGATTTTCACCCTATTCCAATTGTAGAAATCTGCAGTTTCAAAAACCCAAAACCGAAAATCTTAGAAAGATGACACCTCAGCCTTCATGGATGAACCCGAAGAACCATTTCATACCTGGATTGTATTGCCTCCTGTTGCTGAGTATGGCCGAGAAAGCAATCTGCTTTGCCATCTGTTTAGACGATCCTAAGTGAGTACGCATTCGAGCAACACAATTGGTTACGTTATTGCACCATCCTCCTCCCTACGCGTCCAAAACACTCAATTTAGAATCCGAATACGTCAGAGCTCGTTATCCAGAGCTCGATATAAACGTGAGAATCTAAATACAACTCTTCCATTCACATAGCCCTCAACTAAATCACCTCAGATAGCTGACAACCAATGCCAACAAGTTTGGATATGTGGGCATGCGTTAGTTAAAAATAAACAAGTTTTGAAAAATTAGGACTCCGGAACATTTACGCGGAAAAAGAATGAACCTCGAGCTGTATCAACCAGTTGTTGATCCCCGTACCAGAACCCCGGTCCAGATGATAAGCTGGAGGACTGCCGTCCAAGCAAACTGCCGCAGAAATAGATTCATAAACACAGATTCAACACCAGATTTCTACACGAAACACAATCTTCATGACTGGAAAACGAATAGGAAGGATGATTTGAAATAACGTATCTCACCAGCCCCTTTGGCAACGGCTTTTTGGACATATGTAATGTCGACAAATAGCGCTTCTGCGCTTAACACCACGACCAAACACACCAAAAGAATCAACCATTGCTTGAATCTTGCGTCTACCATTCTGGCCAAAAAAAACAAACGATGAGTAAATACTTGTGGTGAAATTCACCCCTAAATGAATGCATCACGACTGAAGCACCAATGAAATACTGAAAAAAAAAGACATTTTTGCTGCCATTATAGTATTTTAAACACAAGAACCCACGATGCAGAAGAAACAACACAGAACTAGACAAATCTGGATTAAGACCAGAACTTCATGTTAACATCACTACTCCTTATTATCAAGACATATGGAAAAATTTTGAGAAGATTATATCACGAAATATCGATATCTTCTTTATATCTAAAATATAGAAATAAAACCAAATCTAAATATTATGTAATATTAAGTAATCTTCTCAAATTTCTCCGATATCTCTTGCCATGGCATTAGATTTTCTGCTTCAGTTTTGAGCACCATCTGAACCAAAAAACAGCTGGGGATTTTAAAAAATGAGCTCCCATTGAAAAATTTTAAACGATAAACAAAGCCCATTTGGGTAAAATCAAAGCCTTTTCCCTCTACGTATCATCGACGAGCATGGAACCTGGGCAATCTAGATATGCATCATTCGCCGATTCACTTAAAGCGGAACAACAATCTTTCTTGGAGAGAAAGTTTCTGCAGCCAACGCGCAAGGAAGGGAGAGACGATGAACTAGTGAAAACGCCCTTACCTGAGAACGCAGTTCTTGCAACCCGCAATGATCTCGACCTCTAAACGCAATTCTGACGGCAACCCAGTTCAGCGCATTGGCCGAAGAAGCGATCCCGCGCAATAGTGGAGCGAAGCGAGACCGAGAAAGAGAGGACCGAGACTGTTCCCGGAATAGCGTTTGTTGAACGCGCGTTTTAAAGGAAGTAGCGATTGGATCCGACGTGCAATGTTTTTGTCAGGTCTACGCTATTTTGGGAGCCCAAGAGCCGACACTGATTCGTTCGTTTGTTCGCAAAATAATAATAAAAAAAAGGAAATTGAAAAATGAGTGAAAAACAAGCGACGGTGGTGTAAATATATATACATATATATGTAAAAGGAAAATTTATGAAATTCCTCTTTATGATTTTATCTTTACATATTGACCCCCTCCCATTATATTTGTGACTATGCACCTCCCTCACGCTTTTATGATCTAAAAGACCATTCATTTCTTATAATTTCTTGCTCATTTTAATACTAGTATACCAGCTAAATGGAATATTCGGTTTCTCAATCCAAATAACATACATAAATCAGAAGGGTACCAAAAGGGTTTATATATTTTTTTAAAAATATATTACATTTCGGTGGTCCAATTACGAATAAGCTGACAGGGTATTATCACATCATCAAATCTTAAATCGGCGATGCAGTCTGGTTTGGAGGGTTGAAATGCAACGAAAGTAAATAAGAGGGGTAATTTGGAATACTACAATAAAAAGGGGTGCCATTGGAATGTGGAAAGATGGGATAGCGTGTCCAGCCCGGTCGGACCGGTGAAGGCGTTGGTTGAAATGTAACGAATCTTATCGGCTTGCGAGTTACGCGTTCCACAACCAACGAGCGGTTGATGTTTTGTTCCGGAATTTTGTCCCTTTCTATCGAACCATTTGTTATTTGATAAATCTGAGTTTAAATAAATAAATTCAGTTTTTGGTAGCGTTTTTTAATATATTATATATATAAATATAATTAAATAATAATACATAACAATAATATATATTATCAAACCTTCCAACAACTTTATGCGAATAACTCAGATGATACTATATTTATGTTATAACGATTTATTGAAACTTTCTATACTTGGCTACGAAAATTCAATACTAAAGTTAGGAAATATAATTTTGTGATCAAGGGAGTCGTTGCCAAATGTGATGTGTACGGAGAGATCTAACTTAGAATTTAATTTCTTGTAGGAAATATGTCTATGCGAATTTAATAAGACTGCCCCACTTGAGTCAATATTAACCTTTTTCATAATACAATTTCTAAGTGTCTCTTATATAGAAATCTAAATATGACAAGATGATTTTCCTCATATGTTGATGGATAATGATCATATTAACGATCACGTAGATCGTTATCCGATTACCATATGAAGTCCAAAAAATTTCAAAATCAGTTTGATAAAATCGGTCCTCTAAAATGATGTCCAACCAATCAATGCAAAGAAGAAATGGAATACGTAACATTGACTTGAAATGACATGAAAATGAGGAATAGGTTTTGATAGAAGAGTTTGGCCAAACCCTTTAATTAGGTCTACTTGGCCATTAGCGTTTCAAGATAAGACCCATTATCTTCCAAATTGAATCGCTTTTGTTAGTCTATTCCACTTGAATTTTCAAAACCTTAATTATATATCGGGAAAAATATATTTATTTTTTATTATATTTGCAAACCTTATATTATATATATATATATATACACACACACATACATGTTTTAGAGAATTTCACATCAAGGAAATAATTTGCTTTAGGGTTAGTGAAGGTAAGGTAAATATTTCCTATATAATTTTCATTCAGTATTTTGTTGGTTCAACGTTAGCGTTTAATATGTGTATATATATATATAGTATTTTTAGATATGATGATCTAATTATGGAGTTAGCGTATTAGTTTGACTTAAAAAGACAACAAATACTAATAGACTATTAGTAATAGTGGCAAATATCATATTCACAAATTGATTGTGTGGTGCAACTTGCCAAGTGGTTAAGATTATAATAGAAAGAATTCCATACAAATTACCACACTAATATTTTCTAAGTAATACACATTATTTGGACTATATATATACATATAGTTGTGGAATTTGCGTGCTGAACTGTCATACCGTTGAATCCATCGAAGGATTGTAGCGGTAAAATTTGTACGGCCGTTATAAAGTTTAGAGCAAATCATTAGTTTGAGGCATTCAAGCTATAAGCATTTAAATTGAGGGATCAAAATGTTATATTCCTTTTTTAAGTTGTTTTTATTTTTATGTAACGTTGTTTTCATCAATTAATGTGGCCTTTAAATTTTCATAAATTGAAAAGAAAGAGAGAGAGATGGAATGGAACAATTAGGTGCACATATATTTATTTAGGAATATAAAAATAATTTTCCAACTGCATGGAGATAGAAATATTGATATTTCAAGTCTAGACTTCTGTGATTTTTCATAATTTATTATTAAAAAATGAGAGACGTTAATCTGTGGAGGTAAGAACTGAATAAAAATGATGTGATTAGGAAACATCTTCCATGTGGGTTTGTCCGCTTAAGCTAACAACATTTTGCATCTAACCAATTAGCCCAATCCCATGATTGCATAACCAATAAACTTAGACCTAACACAGACAAATAATACTTAATCCAATTATTATTATCATAATTTAATATATGTCGGAATTATTAATCATGGTCAAGTCCTCCATGATTGAATAAATTAGATTACGGTTTAAATTTTAATATACAAAAAAAAGTGTGACTTTATGAGAAATTGTACATATTTAAATATCACATTCTTGAAGCCTTCGTGTTGGTTCATCACCGCCCGAAGATTTATAGGAACCACGCATAATATAAGATTACAGTCGCAGATCCAATAAAACGTAATCACACCCATAATTCATACCTCGGTTTATTTAGTTAGTTATTTTTGGGTTGTTGGGCTTCGATGAATGTGAAAGAGGCCGATGGGCTCAAATATTTGGGCTTGTTTTAAATACAAACAGGCCCATTACATCTGGGTTTTGGATCTTATATAACATTTACACACACATATATTAATACATACATATACATAATGTCATTTCGTGATAATGTGCGTACGCCACATGGATCTTAATTACATGGGAGACAACATTAATTATATATAATTTACTTAATTTTTTTTGCTTATAACTAATTGGAAGATTAAATGTTGGGGGGCAGAACAGGAATAGCAAAATACGGATCGACGACCATCATGGCGGTGCCTTTCCCTCCGGCAAAATGCATTGCCAACTTGGATTCATCGTCGTAAGTGGTGGCATCACAGGAAAACTCGTTGTAAAACGCTCTCGCCTTCATAAGTATGTATCTTATGGAAGATTTCATGTACCACCACAAGGTTATCCGAGCAACTTCCCCTCCCCATTCTCCGTACTTATTACCACCTTTGCTCTTTCTCTTCTTTGCCTTCTTCTTCCTGTCTTTTGTCGGATGCCCTTCTTCCGACGGCGGGAATGGATGATGTTCTGTGACCGATAGATCGGGGTGATGATGATGATGATGTATGATATGTTGATCATGGTGATGGGTAGTTGAACCTGTGTTTCCACGTACGGATTTGAAGGATAAGGGCTTGCTGTTCTTGTGTAGTATCTTATGAGTGGCGTTTAGGGTTTCGGGTTTGCGAAATTGAGCGAGGTTGATGAATTGAGTTGCCATGTTTAGAGAGAGTAATTGCTTCAGAGGATATATGTGGTGACTGATTTTATCTTTGAACTGCTCTTGCACTATGCTCCGTTGCTATATATATTCACACACATATACATACACACACACACAAGCAGTAATGGCTGAATTTCCAAGGTATGAGGGAGAGAGACAAAAACATAAAGACATTAAAGAATTTGAAAGGCAATTGGGATTGGACCACATTGGTACCGGCAACGGCTCTGAGTGTTCTTTTTCACCCTCGAGATCAAGCTAACTCCCATATGCCATCATTTACACTTTGATCCAACGCCTCGCCACCTCCGTACTGTACTTCCAACTCAGATATATATATATATATATATATATATATATATAATCTTAGCGATTTTCAATGATATAGCACATAATACGTTTTTCTTAAATAGAGTATTATATATCTAGGTACTACTAATTATTCTGATTATATCTAAATGATTAAACGTAAATATGTAAACGTTTACTGAAAGATTATTGGAGAGAAATAATCCCTATATCACGTGACGTTTTGGAAAATCTCTAAGAACCTTGAGTTTTGCATGGAAACTGATCGAACTCTCTGGCCACGAGGATGATTTGGTAATCCCTTCAACAAAATTGGAGATATCTGTATGAGGATTTGTTAGTTTACAGATTATTTTACTAGTTTTATATATAACAAATGTAGTGGTATGAAATTTTTGTATATCGTATTTATTTCTTTTACGTTAAGAAATAAAAAATATGTGGCGTGTATGTACATGTACATGTACGTAGAGATAACATCAAATTGAAAACGAAAAATGAAAGAGAAAATGATGTAAAATTTCGTACTATAATTAATTATATTAACCACAGAAATCCAAAAACAAAAAAAAAATGGAGCTCCATCACTTTCTCGGTGGAACCTATGATGATGTGTTTGGGTGCATCTCCACATGCAAAGTTTATATTCTACTTATTTTCTTAGACGTCGTCGGTGCCACCTCATCATTATGGATCCTAAAGATTTTTATTTTAAAAAAGTTTTGGTACTGAATCAATATGAATGCAAATGATTGAAAGGTGTAATGGCCTGAGCTGAAAGGAGCAGAGAGAGCAGAGAGACAAGTTGGGTTCGATTCCTTGATGACAAGTTTTTTCTGGTCAGTTTCGACTGGTTTACCTGATCTGCATGACTTGCCGGCTGTTGCGTAGGGTCGTGAGAGTTTACTGTCTGCGATGCTGTGTCATTCGTTCAACCATTCGGATAGGGTTGTGAGACGTTTCGGGATCCGACCCAAAAGACTGTAGGACATGTTTTCCAACTTATACAAAAAAAATTACCTTTGGTATCGCTTTCACACATTCTGTTGAGATATCATACTCTCAGTGTTTTCTAATAAATGGTTGGATAATATATGAATATGTTACATTAGTCACCGTTTGAGCTCCATGTTATAGACACATATATACCATAATACCAATATTTGTTGGACCAAAATTTTACAGTGTGATTTGCCCCCTTGAAAGCCACATCTAACTGAAAACGAGAAAAGAACAAAGAAAACGATAGAATGTGGATTGTCATGGCAATGCATTCCCATCAATTTCTTATTATAATCAAGCATGGAATGTGAAAATTGTTCGTCCACTCCACATGCATAATAGTGCTCCTTTGTGCTTGAGTAGAGGTATTAACAGGGTTGATTATATTTCGGTTCGGTAACATAAAACCAAATTGAATCGAATAATACAAAATGATCGTGGTATGGACCGAGTTTGATCTGAACACCGATCAAGTAAGATGTTCTTAAAACCAAGTTAATCTGAACCGAATTCGAACCAAATATGAGAATATCAAACAATACTTAAAAAAAAGACGAACAAAAATCTCCATAAATATAAGCATTCAATGGAAACAAAACCTAAAACAAACCAAAACCAATATAAGAAAACCGAATAAATACAGTTTTTTTCTAATTAAATTGGAAAAACCAGATAAGAGAAGCCCAAATTAACCAAATGCAAGTGAAGATAACTGTAAAGAGACATTTATGGCAGTTGCAGTGCGCCACTTTATGACAGGCTTCGATGAAAGCATTTGTCTCGACAAATAAAGAAACTTGGGCCGCACATGCAATCTTAGTTTGGAACATGGGGTCTGATTTCCTAACATCCACGCATATACACACACGATCAATTCGAGTTTCGATGTAATGTTGTTTGTTTTTTATATCTGTTTTGGAAAGAACGTGTGAATAATGCAAGTCTTGTGAGCAGGAAGAGCCAATTCTAAGGCGCACTGAATAGTGAATATGAAAGCTCGAAACACTGGCCACAACAATTCTGTGGTTTCTCAACAATTTCTTCATCCGGTGAAATTTGGGAGTTAAACGTATGAAAGGCAGTGCTTTCACTGAGGGGTCCTTAGTTTATAAAGATTAGGGTTTTGTGTCTGTCAACGCTGTGGACAGGAAATCTATGTCCAGAGCTGATACCAACCAGTCTGAAGATCTGAAACAACTGCTCTTTCCAAACACCATGCTGAAGAATGGCAATGTGTCTCATCCTGTGATTGGTCTAAAACAACTCCTATGAACACCGGTTTTACGTCCTGCAAATCACGCGACAACAGAACGAACCGGTCCAGGCTAAATAAAGAACAGAAACATAAATGATTGCACAGGTTTTTGGTAGGTTACTTACTTTGTGAACTGTGAAAAAATGCTGACTGCTCCTTGGCCAATGTGTGATCTTTTATCAGATGCTGCAACTGAGGATCTATCTGTCCATGGCCAAAGCTTGTCTCTTCAGGGCATGGAGTTAGATACAAGCTGAGTTTATGTGAGAGCAGGGAATTCCTACAACACCAATTATGTCACAAAATCAGGAGAAACAGGATGGACATGTTACCTAGAGCCCTACTCATTGACAAAATAAACGAACAGTGCTCTCCCGATACACTTAAATACTTTGTACACGATTAAAAAAAAAAAGTGTTCTCATCAAGGCGTATAAGCATCTTCACCAAGCAAATAAGCAAACGATAACAGCAATCGAAGAAGATAAGATACAAAAGGCCACAAAGCCGCAGCATGTATAGAAATCACAAAAAGAAAATAGATCAATAAGATGATTCATGAAGGCAGGAAAGAAGCTGGGGATATGGACAGAACAAGTCATTGTTGTTGGAAAGGCACAGCTCTATATTACCTGTGTTATTAAGATTGCCGTCTAAAGCCTGCTCGGATCAATAGCCTGCTATTATGGGTTGGATTCAACATCCGCTTCCCCAACCTCATCTGTATTTCCAGCTTTACAATAGCCATCTATCATCATATACTATGTATGAAAACTTGGAACAAGACCATGCCGTTTACATTCACCGCAGAGGTTTACCGCCTCCTCTATCTCATCCATACGAAGCAGCCCCCTCCCCTCATATCAACAAATTGTAAGTAGGAATGTCGGGCTTAAGTCCTTTGACTCCTTTCTCAACCAATTTCTCAAAGAACATAAAAGCATCTACCAAATTCCTCTGCCTGCAATATTCCCCAATCAAAAAGTTATAAGGCGATGTATCCGATGCAAAACCACATTCTAATATCTCCTTGTGAATCCTAAGGCTTCATTCATGTTTCCAGCTTTACAACGACCATCAAGCAAAGCATTTGAAGTCTGCACATTTAAAACAAAACTCTTCCTTAGAAGTCCAAAGTTCAACTGCCTCTGAGTGCTTACCGTGCTTACAGAGTCCATAAAACAACGCCGTAAGCTGTTTACCATCAGTTCTCAAATTTCTCAGTAGCACAGTGCTGAATCAAACATGGATTTCTTGCAGAACAACGAAATGACAGATGTGTAGGAGCCCTGGTTCACATTTAAACCCATCGATAGCATTTCCTTCAAGAGGAGCTCCGCATTATCTGCTTCTCCGCTCTTGCCATATCCCTTTATGAGCGAATTATATATCACTGATGCGGCGGTTAACCCCTTTGAAACCATGGAATCCCTTAATCTCAACAGTTTTGATCATGCTTCCGAGTCTCATAAGCCCTTTTAATCAGCGTGTTATGTACAACCACGTTCCGGATCAAAGCACGAACTCGCAATCTCGACTCGTCTGTCACAATAGCTGATTCGAAAAAAGCAACAGACCTATCAATAAACAATACAAACGAAGGCTGAAGGAGAAACTAAACGTATCAGAGGCCAGGCGGAAAAAACTCAATGGATCGAACGTCCAGAGACAACCTATCGAATTCAGAAGGCGACAAATCAGGGACGAGCTTATTGCATTGCACAAAATCTAGAGACTTTCTAGACAAGGCTGAACACAAGCGTTCGAGCAAATGCCGATCAGAGAATGCAACCTCCGATTTCTCCAGCAGTAAGTCCGGGTACTGAAGTTTCCGGGCGTGGAAGCTCTTCCGGACAACGATGACGACGAAACGGAGGGGGGGGGGAGAGAGAGATTTGGGCCATGTTCGGAAGAAGTGGCGAAAGGGCAAAACCCGGGGGAGGGGGAGAGAAAGATTTTGGGCCATAAATGGGCCACGTGTGGGCGCATATATGGGCCACAAGTGGGCTGATAAATAAGAGCCCGATATGGTGATTCATACAGCCGAAAAGCAGTAATGGCCCATAGAAGCTACGTACGCGCATATGCATACAACGTGTAATACCATTTGAAATTCATTTTAGGGAAAATCCATATCCCCACAAATTTTCGATAAAGTTCTAATTTTTTATACCAATTTTTAATTTGATGAAAAATTCACCGAATTTTAAATATTTCTAAATTACCATACAAAATTTTAAAATGTGTACAATTTCTCCCGTATTCATAAACGACGTTAAGTTCCGTCAATTTTAATGTTGACGTGCTATATCATGTCACACAGATTTCGTCAAATCGTCACATTTCGTCAAATCATCATGTCATGTCAGAAAATAAATAAAAAATAAAATAAAATAAAAATTTTAAGAATTTTTAAAAATAATAATAAAATGAAATAAAAAATTACAAAATTTTAAAAAATAATAAAATAAAAAATTACATATACATATATACACACTTTTATATCTATACACGATTATATACATATACATGTACGCACATATATACATCTACATATATAATTATATACATATATATACACACACTTATACATTTGTATATATACACACTTTTACATATGTACACAATTTTTTAAAAAAACTTTAAAAAAATTACAGAATTTTAAAATTTATTTTTAAAAAATAAAATAAAAAATTACATATACATACATACACATTTTTATATCTATACACAATTATATACATATACATATATACATCTACATACATATTCACATTCATACACTATATTCATTTTATTAGTTTTTTAAAAAAAATTCTGAAAATTTTTATTTTATTTTATTTTTTATTTATTTTCTAACGTGACATGATGATTTGGTAAAATATGATGATTTGGCGAAATCTGTGTGACGTAACATATCACGTGAGCATTAAAATTGACAGAAATTAACGTCGTTTACGGATATGGAGGAAATTGCAACACATTTTAAGATTTTGTGTGAAAATTTGGAAATATTTGAAATCCGGTGTAGTTTTTTATCAAATTAAAAATTGGTATAGGAAATTAGAACTTTTTCGAAAATTTGTGGGAGAATATGGGATTTTCCCTTCATTTTAGTATCATAAATTGTGAAATCATCTACTCGATTTAATTGTACTATATTTATTTTAAAAGGATTCTATAATAAATTATATGTTACGAACCAACCATCCGACTAAGCGTATAATGGTATGTTTAACTGTAAATCATAGAATTTAATCTAGCTTCGTTAATCTAATTAATTACCTAATTAACTGCAGAATGAAAACCCTTGTAATTTAGGTATTTATTAAATTCATTGCTGGTATTCAAATTGACGGTGCCTATGATAATATTGGGATGCTTCAAGACATATATGTATAATTAATATAATACTGTAGTATTAATTGTGGTATATATTCAAATATTATATATTAGGTTTGATATCGGCACTATGTATCCTCATGATTCACGCACGAGCCCTCATCACATGAGAAGTCAATGTAACAACGAACGGCTTAATTAGTTAAGATTAAGCAGTGATTAACAAAATTAATATCATCTTTAGTGTCACTCTCACATGCATTGCCTCCTCAAAGAAGAGAGGAATATATATATATATATATATCTACATCCATTCTAGGCTTGGGATCATCCTTTGTATATAGACCATTTTGATCTAGAAATTACATCCTTCTCCACCAGTGAAATCGAACCCATGATTTCGATGATGACTTTGTCACCTCTCAGCCACTGGACTACCAACTGTTGGGCTATATATATAGTTCACATATAGCACGTTTGTTTATTCGTGGGCATGTGAAAGCTGAAGACGATGCACATCAGGTTGTATCCAAAATAAGTTCCGGAGATTTTAACGAAGCCGAATGTGATTTTGTTTGGACAAAATTGTTGCATGTGTGACCAAAGGAATCGCGGCTAAAAAAATTAAACAAAAAATATATTTTTTCCACGATTGTTATCAAAATAAATAAAATCCTGTAACTAAAATTTTAATACCCTACAATTCCGATTCATTACTGTTCCGCAAGTAAAATTTTCCATCACCTATGATTACCAAAAATCACAATATATATATATTGGTATTTACGGTGCAAATGAGTGAGTGATACGGTAAAAGATCTTTAGACATGGCTAACAAGATTCAGCAGCAACAAAACCTTTCAAGTCTGCCAATATATATTTTTTTTATCATTATTAATTAGTATGTTCTTAATATTTGTTAATTTTAAGAGATGGCAAAGCCTTTAGATGAGTTTTCCAAACAAGCTTTTCCCCTTTTTTCAAAAAAAGTTTATTGTTGTTATATCTTTTATCTATGTTTTACAAGTCTGTATAAACAATAATTCAGAATTTTACATATGTGATATGGTATATTTGGCCTTATCACAAAGGTTTTTTTATGAAATTAAATTGGTAGCTGATTTTTAAAAAAACCCCACTTTGTTAAATTTTGCAGTATTTTAATAACCAAAATAGTCGTGAAAGGGAAAAAAATTATAGAATTAGTTAACAAGGTGACACGTGGCTAGTTACAACCATTCCTCTTATTTTGGGCCTTTTTCTTGAAACCATTCCACATAATCTCCCTCGCATAAACAGCGATTTCTCTACCATAGAAGAAGAAGGAGGAGGAGGAGGAGAAAGCGAAATCTCGGTGAGGGCGACCGGAGATTTCAGAATCCGGCAGGGAGGCGATGGCAGGACAGTCTCGGAAATGGATGATTCTGGTGGCGACGATCTGGATTCAGGCGTTCACGGGGACGAACTTCGATTTCTCGGCGTACTCGTCGGATTTGAAATCGGTTCTAGGGATTTCGCAGGTTCAGCTGAATTATCTGGCCGTCGCTTCGGATCTCGGGAAGGTGTTTGGATGGTCGTCGGGGCTCGCTCTCCTGTATTTCCCGCTCTGGGCGGTGCTCTTCGCTGCCGCGATAATGGGGTTCGTCGGCTATGGCGTCCAGTGGCTCGTCATCAGCGATCTCATCTCCTTGCCTTACATCGTCGTAAGTTCTCTCTTTCCTCTCTCATTTTAGCAACATTTTTTTTTTAAACTTCATTGCTTTCTATTTCTTTCTTCCGTTTTCATTGCTGATGCTTAAAAGTCTGGTTTGAAATTTTCCACAACGACAAGTATTAGAATATCTGAAAATCATTTCGAAGTATATGTTCTTTTGATTCTCCTAATAGGTGGGAATGCAATTCCACTCAAAACTTTAACTCCTAAAATAAACAATAAAAATAAAAACGAATTTTCTCTAGTCGAAAATTGAAGAAGCTAGTGCTCTCTGGAGAATTTTCACGTGAAAAAAAACCCCTATGATGATCAAAGTGTTCATTCAAATCTATCATCAAAAGTAATTTTGATGTGCTGAGTAGACAATAATCACGTAAAATCCGTGATGCAAATGCTAATTTCTCCATTTAAAAAGCTAAAAATCTGTGATTAGAATTTTCTGGAGTGAATTAGTCTTCCATGTCTCAATTTTTATTTATTGAATATATCGAAAAACGATGAAATTCTATGTGTTCTCACCAATTCTAGAAGATGTGAATGTAAAGCTGGATCGTTAAAGTTCTTAAAAAAAATTAATTTTGCTGGACCGTTATTGTTATCATTATTGTTGTTGTTTTTTTTTGGATCGGGTGTATTTATACAATACTTTTATAAAATAAACTGAAAAAAAGAAATAAAATATAATGATCAAACACTCTTTGTTCGCCGATACGACCACGTGCTGCTTACGGGGATGGCTCGGCTTTCCATTTCTTTGTAACCACAGCGAATCTAATACGCATATATACACATGAATATGTATACGTATATCGGACTATGCGGTCCATGAACCTTCTTTTCATCCCGTTTCCGACCAAAAACAAAAGATAAATTTGTCTAGTCTTTTTTTTTTAAATAATATATAGGCATGCCCTATGTTTAAATAGTCGTCATTTTCTCAACTTTATGTTATAATAATAATACCCAATAGGGTTGCTCTGCCTTTACATATTTAAATAATTGATTCCTTTTCTTACATTTACGACCATTGCTTCTTCCTTCGACTTGGTGGGAGGGATGATTAAACATTTTATCTTTTTCTTTTTTCATTTCCTTTTGACTTTGTGATATATATAAATTATCGAATAAAAATATTTTATAAATTGGTTGGTGCTCTCTTATAAATTATAATCAACCATTGCTAACGTCATGGTGTGAATTTGATATGTTCTAATAGTGCAGCAAGTAGGGCATCATATGATAGGAGAACATATTCGGGTTTTTTTTTTAAAAAAAATTGCAAATGGGACGAACACGAAGATTTGTCTACCACAGCTTTTGTTTTGTCGTTTCTGTGGATTTTCTTTTACTAATCTGATTGGTTGGGTCGCACATGCTACGCGTCTCCTTAAGCAAATGAACTCTCGGATGGTTCTAGAATATCATATATAAAGGCTTTGGTAATGGAATTGAATGCGCATACTTTCCATATAATATAATAATTCGCATAAAAAAAAATGCTGACAACAATAAATCGCAATGGGGAATTTTTTATGTTTAAAAAATCTGACTAGTGAATGCATCATATTAAATAATTTGTTTTGTTTATGCCATCATCATTTAAAGAAACTGCTCCTTGTTGAAATTTTTTAATTCGATTATCGTTTCATAGATTTTTCTCACATCAATTTTCTTTGTTTTCACGTTTTTTATGATGCAAAGTGATTTAAATAGCGGATAACATCACGTATAGATCTTAATGTAAACGTGTTTTTTATAGGGTTTGTATAGACTAAACTCTCCTCAGCGTTGGATACGATTTTCTGTTACAGAAGAACTGAGAAAGTGTTGTTCTTTAATGATGACTGGCAGGTGTTCTTGTGCTGTTTATTGGCAGGGCTAAGTATATGTTGGTTCAACACCGTTTGCTTTGTCCTCTGCATCAAAAACTTCCCTGCAAATAGAGCTCTTGCTCTTTCCAATCTTCTTGTCTAAACGACATGACAGGTTTTTCTGTGCTGCTTGTTAGCTGGATTAAGCATCTGCTGGTTCAACACTGTATGTTTCATCCTCTGCATTCGCCACTTCCCGAACCACCGTCCCCTCGCCTTGTCCCTCACCGTGAGCTTTAATGGCGTCAGTGCAGCCCTGTATACACTCGCTTACAACGCCATCAACCCGTCTTCTACCCGACTGTACCTTCTCTTGAACGCTCTTATCCCTCTCATCATCTCGTTCTTCGCCCTTATCCCGATTCTTCGCCAGCCTCCTCTTGACCCTCTTCCCCCTGATGGAGTTCGACGTGATTCTCTTATGTTTCTCTTGCTCAACATCATAGCCATCTTGAACGGGGTTTATCTCCTTCTGTTCGGGTCAAATGCTTCTGGTGTAGCCACTGCTCGTCTTCTCTTTAGTGGGGCAATATTTCTATTGATCTTCCCGTTGTGTATCCCTGGTCTTGTGTATGCCCGTTCTTGGTATCATCGTACCATCCACTCCAGCTTCAGCCTAGAAGGTTCTGGATTCATTCTTGTCGACGTTGATGAGCTTGAGGTGCATAAAGGAATGGTGACTCGTGCTTCCAGTCTCGATGACTACCAGTTGCTCAATGATGGAGTCTCGAACATAGGTATGCCCCAGAAGAGTATGGATGAATGGGAAGATAACAGTTGTTGCAGGAAAATTGTTACAAAAGATCAGCTGGAAATGCTCGGGGAAGAACATTATTTGTCTCTGCTGGTGCGTCGGTTGGATTTCTGGCTGTATTATACTGCATATTTTTGCGGTGGCACGATCGGCCTTGTTTACAGCAACAATCTTGGACAGATTGCACAGTCCTTGGGACAGAGTTCCAACACCACCACTCTTGTCACTCTCTATTCGTCTTTCTCATTCTTTGGCCGACTGCTCTCAGCAACTCCAGATTATATCCGAGCGTAAGTAATTATTTTTCCCTTGCTTATCTCCGTCATGCTTATAAGATGAGCAGCACATGTACTCTCACCATATTGATCGAAATGTCTAGCTAGAACAATAGAGCCTCAATGATCTTAGAAAATCTTATCCGTAACCACACAGTCCTCTCATCCAAATCGGATAAAGGGTCCTGGTTAGAAATGTGAAGTATAGTGAGTGATGCATTTGTGCAGGAAGGTATATTTTGCAAGAACCGGGTGGCTAGCCATTGCCCTCTTACCGACACCAGTCGCCTTTTTCCTCCTGGCTTCGTCTGGACACGCATCAGCGCTACAAGCAGGAACAGCCCTGATAGGACTAAGCTCGGGATTCATATTCGCTGCTGCAGTTTCGATCACGTCAGAGCTGTTTGGTCCGAACAGCGTAGGCGTAAACCACAACATCCTCATCACGAACATACCGATAGGTTCACTGATCTATGGGTTCTTGGCAGCACTGGTCTATGATTCTCATGGAATGTCGAAAATAACGGCCGTGGCCTCGGACTCGGTCATATGCATGGGAAGGGAATGCTATATGCTGACGTTTGTGTGGTGGGGATGCTTGTCGGTTCTTGGCCTAGCTTCAAGTTTTGTGTTGTTCCTCAGAACTAGACGAGCTTATTACCGTTTCGAACAAGACCGGATAACTTCGAGTATGCTCTATTCATAGATTGTTACCTCCGAGGATTTTGTATGTACATTTGTTTTTCCTTTTTGGGTGGGAAAGTTTTGATCTTTTTTCAGATATAGAATGGGATCTGTGATGAACTAACGTTGGTCGGAACACTACTTGTTTGAGCTTATAATTTTATGGTCTTTGTCATTAATGAAGTAATTACCGTCTTGACTTTTGGTCCTACTTGATTTTCTCATATATTTTAAAAATATTTGTTGTTTTAAGTTATTTTCTATATTTCAAAATATTTGTTATTCTACATTTTTAAAGATATTTTTTTACAATAATTTCTAGTTTTATCCTATTAAATTCCAATAAATTATTAATTATAATAGTATTAAATAAGAGTGTATGTGATTTTTTCTATTTTTTTTTAAAATGTAAAATAATCTAAAATAACAATTATTTTGAAATGGAGGGAGTAGAGCATATGATATGATAGATGAATCTACGTTATTGCTATTTCCAATGTTTGGTTGATCTCTTCCATTGAGTGTAATGATGATTCGCGTATTTAAATGCTAATATTTTTTTTTATAAATTATACAGATCAGAACCAATAAAAAAAGGAAAGAAAATTAAAATAAAAAAATCTCAAGGGTAATTGCAAAACCTCTCATGCTTGATACAGAGAAAGAGCCTCTCATAAGCCAAAGCCATCTTGGTCGCCGTGAACATCTCCGCCGCGTATTTCCGACACTTCCTCCCTCTCTCCGACAGCCTCTCCGCCCCTTCTGCCGCCGCAGCCTCCATGGCCGCCGTCAATGCCTCCACGTTCGGTGCGAACATGAAACCGAACTCTTCGTTCACGACAATGCTCCTCCTTATGCTTGGATACCTTGACGCCATAACCGGTTTCCCGCTCAGCATCGCCTCCATTAACGTCAGATCTAACCCTTGTGGCCTCAGTGTCGGATTCACGAATATATCGATCCCATTGTAGAAGATCTTGAGCTCCATTGGATTCAGAGATCCCAAGATTATGGCACGTTGTCCTAAATCTTTGTAACGTTCTTGCCACGGTCCTGACCCGGCAACGACAAGATACAAATTTTGATGTTTTTGGACGAGTTTCGCGAATGCTTCGTATAACAATGGATGCCCTTTGTCTTTGACCAATCTTCCGGCGACACCTAAGACAATCGCCGACGAGTTTTCCGGGATACCGATCTGAGATCTGAACTGTAAACGTAGTTTCTGGTCTGGTTTGAACCCGTTTTCGTCCACTCCGTTGAGAATCACGTGAACCCTTTTATCCGGGATTTGATACACATCTCGGAGCATTTCTCCGCAGCTGTCGCTGATGGCGATATGGTGAGCGTAGTTGTGGAAGAATCGGATTTCGTCGAGTATCTTAGGGAGCACGGCATTGTAGAGGCTTTGGTTGAAACCCGGAGATCTGGGTTCGTCCGGTTTACGGATCAAATCTTGGTAAATGCTCGACTGCAAGCTCTCCAACGCTATGCCGTGCCACGAAACCGCGAGGTTTGGCACGTCACGGGCGATCCAGTGAGGCAAGGCGACGCTCTCGGAGTGAACAACGTCGAAGGGCTCTTTCCGATTTTCCTCCTGAAAAAGCTCCCACGCCTTGTTGTACCGCCATTTACCCGGCTCGGCCTCGCCGTGGCAGTGGATTCTCGGGAACTCAAGGTCGCCGGAGACAGGGGCGTTCTTGTTTTCCGGCGAGTGATTCAGCGGGGAGGTGAAGACGTGGACGCGGTGGCCGCGGCGGGCGAGGGCGGTGTGGAGAGTGAAGGCGTGGCGCTCCATTCCGCCGGGAGTTGACCCGACAGGCCATTTCCGGGAGAAGACGGCGATCTTGAGGGTGGCCGGAGGAGGGTTGGCCGCCGTGAGGGAGAGGCGGTTCCAGGCGAATTCGGCTTGCCGGAGATCGCCGGACCACCGTGGATAGACGGCGTCGGAGGAGGAAGAAAAGGCTGAGCCAGCGGAGGAGGGGGAGGAGCAAGAGGAGGAGGTGCGGAGGAGGAAGAGGGCGGGGATGGTGAAGAGGACGGTGAAGAAGAGAGTGGTGCAGAGGCTGAAATGCGAATTTGGCTTCTTTGGTTTGATCTGTGTAGCCATCTTCTGTATTTCTTTTCTTTAAGTTTATGGCTATCAATGAAATTATACATAAAAAGCAAATGGTGGGCTTTTTTTTTTGTTGGAGCGATTATTTTAATGTTTATTTTGTTTTGTAATAGAAGTGATGAAAAAGGTGAAGATGGGTCATGAAAATTGGGTCTAAGTGCTTTTTTTTTTTAATTTCTTTTTTTGCAGAAGTGGTTTTGGTAACGTATGTAGTGACTATAAAGAAAACGTGAAGCTTTACTTGTATTAATTTGTTTTCCATTTTTAGTGGGCATGGATAGTCATGTGACATGTTGCTGCTGCCTTCACCAATCACATTTTGTGTACTAATCGTTGGAAGCTCATTGCTCTTTCTTTTTTACGGTTTCATGTTCTAATAGATCGTGTATATATATAAGTTTGATGTGACGGTTATCGCATAATGAATAACTTGGTTTTGTAAATTTTTTCAGACATGAAGTTTATTCACAAAATATGATTTAGTTTTGATTTGATTTTTAGACGATAATATAAAACATGATTTAGAAAATTATAACGAATGCATAAATATTCAGACTTGATTTTTATATTTTTAATTATTTTTGTTAGACAAATACTACAATTATGATAATAAACATCGATTCCATTTCTATTTCTATAAATTTAAAGATAGTTCAACATTTAAAATAATAAGGATTTCTAATAGTAATAAAATAATAATAATAACAATTTATTTTCGCATCAACACGCATAATAGTTTTTTTTTCGAAATAAACATTAGGAGTTACACGGTAATATAAATTCTAAGTCTCTATCAAAATAAATCCAATCGGCAATCAATCACCATTGAAGTGGACCGAGCGGGTGCACATGCACTTCACTGCATACCCACTAACCCACTTAAATTAGTCTATACAAAGTATGCATATATATATATATATATATATATAATGTAAAGAATTATTAAGTTTTTCTATTGATCATTTAGTATTTTAAATGCATACTTTGGTGCATTTCCTAAATGCATCCACTTTGTTTTTTTTTAAAGAATTCCGCCACGGGATTTAATGATAATTCAACATATTTAGGATAAAAATATGGGTCAAAATTTAGATTTTGAAATATCAAACTTTGAATTTAAGAAAAATGAGTTGGGGTTAGGCGTAGGATGAAGAATGGTCAACCCTTCGGTGCATTTCCACTTGTTGACTTTTGAAGATCTTCCATCCTTTCCGGGCGGGTTTTTAGGTATTCTCATCACTCTTAGCTTTTGACTTTTAGCAATTCTTTGTTCCATAGGCACTAATGCATATGATGTTGTATTAGATTTGACGCCGCTCGATAATCCTTAAATTTGTTCTAATTTTTCTAGAATATTCTTCAGATTTTTTCTTTTTGAATAGTTTTACTTTTTCTTAATTTTATTACTATTAATTGCGTGATACAATATTATTAGCTTTTTAAAAAATAAATTAATATCAAGACAGATACAATACAACTATGCCATGATATATAGTATATTAGATTAAAGTACCATTTATTCACGAAAAAAAAGGAAAGTACCATTTATGTTGAATTAACTATTTGTTGAATTGAATGTTTTTAACAAGATTTAATATGAATAATACTTCCAAAAATTCACGTGCACTTCATCATGAAAAAAATTAAAAGATCCAAATGAAATTTCAAAATTAATTTAGGGTAAATAGAAATAAGTTTTAATTTTTGGAAATGACACGCGTTAACTCCGTAAGAACCCAAAAGTCAACTTTGATATGCATTGTTTATTGACAAGTAAAAGCCATCGTCCTTTACCATTTCCCAACTCAACTTAAGAATATGAAATAGAATATGAAACTTGGGGAACAAGGCAACGCTTGCACGTGGGCTTGGCTTCCAAATTCGTTCATCTCATCTGCGTTGAAACACCTTTGCTTCGGCCCTCAAAAGGCAAGTCTCAGCCAGCTTCTCTTTCACAAACACCTTTTTTCTTCTCATTTATCATAATTAAATTTGAGTAAAACTAAGATAAGAACCTATGGTTTAGGTTTTATAGAGGAAATTAAAGATCATCACTTGTTACAATCCTATGTATGTAGCATCAGTTTAGAGTTTCATACATGTTCCTCGTAAAACCAGTCTTATCCTGTTCTGTTTAGTGTTGAATGGAGAGAAGACATATGATCTCACCTTCTGCCTGAATCCAAAGGTTATGCCTTGGTGCCTGCTGTCTGGAGGAGGAAACTGAAAAACAACAAACTCATATCAGTATAAGGAGATCTCTTCCTTTACTCGTTTCCCATTCCGTATCTCGTCATCTTGTAAGCAGGTTCGGCCTCTCTTAGATACAAGAGCCTCATCCGAAGCACGTCCATATAAACCCGCTTCTTTTTCTGATACAGATACCATTTGATCGAGGTCGTTCCTCTCCTGTATTTCATGGAGTCTGTAGTCATTCTCATCAGGGCCATAGAGCAAGCTCATCCCGCATCTAACCACCTCGCAGCATTCTAGCTTCTTTCTTGCATCATCCGTCACATAGAATTTCAGTGAGACCGACGTGTGACAGCATCTGCTGTGGTCATTATTCTCTTCCCGGCATTTCTTGACGTGGAAACAGTTGTTATAGCTGACGAAGACATGGTCAGAGCTAAGGCGTCGTGGCTCGTGGCCAGATGATCCACATGGCTCGTTCCATCCCCCGAGATTGCAGCTAAAGCTAATTGACTCACCATCTTCGTTCTTGAAGTTGAATCTGCATCTTACTGAAAAGCGGCTGGTACGATCTTCATAGCCCTTGAAAGAGACAACCACGCATAGGGAAAACCCGATAAATCTACTGTCGCACCAGTGTGGAGGGAGGGTGGTTTTCATGGAAGAACCCGTTCTCTGATGGCGGAACCACAATGGTATGTCGATTCCTGGAAAACATACGCTGACTAAAGGTTCCAGCACTAATCCCTGCAAGGACACCGAGAAAACCATCATTAAGCACAAGATACAATACAATATCATCATCGGGAAAAAGGAGTAAGCAGTCATGGACCTTGTGATTACGCTGACGAGATGCATTTGCCAGTAGCTGACTTTTGAGTTGGGCATGAGCAACAATATTATCTTGTGCATCTCGACTCAGCTTGAAGCAATCTGTGAAAATGAAAGTAGAATGTGTTGTATCAGCAGCCTGGAGAAGTATCACTGGTTTTGCCACTGATTCCAATGAAGCACAGTCATCAGCATCTAAGTACTTCAGATTTGGTGGAAGCATTGGAAGAGAGTTCAGCTTCCGGCAATGTTTCAAGTCAAGCGACTTCAAATGCTGGAGTTTCTTGATGCTTTCAGGTAGGTACTCAATATCGTTGCTGCTTAAGCATAATGACTGTAATGAGGATAAGCAGCAAAAGTTGTCTGGCAATTTGCACAGATTGCAATCTGTAAGATAGAGGTCTGAAATGTGAGAGCAACCTGAGAGAGGAAGCAACACTAAGCCTGTGGAATCTTGGACTTCCGATCCACAGAACGAAAATGTCTTGAGATTACTTAGAAACATCGTTTTCGGAGTCTGTTTGATGGCTGTTCCGTCCATGAGCAAAATCTCCAAGCGTTCCATGTCCTCTTCGATGTCTGGAAAACTCTCCAGCTTTGGACAGCCTGAGAGAATCAGTTCTTGAAGAAATTTCAGCTTGCCGAGATTGTTGGGAAGATACCTCAACCTGCCACAGTTCTTCAGATTCAGTAGAGCAAGGCTGCGAAGTTTCCCAATGGATTCAGGGATCCTTTTTATTGCTGTTCCATCCAAATATAGAGACTCTATGCTTTCTGAAATTGTTCGAAATCTCCTAAAATTCGAGCAACCACTGAGGATAAGAGTCTTCAGAGATTTCATATTGATATTTTTTGGAAGACTCTTGAGGCTTGTGCACTCTCTTAGGTTCAGGAAAACAATGCTGTCCATCTTTGGGATCAATGAAAACAACTCGGTCAAACTTGTGCAGCCTTCCAGATTCAGTCTTTCCAGGTTTTGGGCTTCAGACAAGCCTGATAAATTCAGCAAGTCTTTCGAATGACTAAGATCAACCGACCTTAAATTTTCCGTATTCTGCAACAAACAGGCAATAACATAATAACTAAACACATGCAGACTTGACCACGTAATCTAATCAACCGAAGAAACATAAGCTGAGGATTTACCTTCTCGTCTTCCCACAGTTGTTTGATGCAGCTATAGCGCAGGTCAAGATGAACGAGTTTCCTAGGATTGAAGTTTGATGGCAGAGACTCCAAAGGGAACCCCTGCCAGTAGAGATACACCAGCTCATCGGGAAAGGAGTCTAGCCCTTCTGGGAAACGAAGTTTATACGCATTCTCACATTCCCGGGAACAATGAGAATTATAGAATTTGAGAAATTTGAGATTCCACATTCTCGAGAAAACATCTGGACTTAGTTTTATCCTCTCTACTTCGCACACGTCCAGGAAGATGCCTCTAATTTCTCCAGTGCCCTGGTAAGCAAGAGAAAAGGTTAGTAGCAGGAAAAGCTGAATATAAAAAAACAAAGAAGAATCACATTGAGGTTATATAAGATGTACTAGAATAATAATCATATGGTAAACCGATAAAACATGAATCCCGCACCGCTTTATGCTTCAGCACATGACGAATATCTTCGTGGTTCCACAGCCTACTGCGTTTGCCTGCTTCTTTTATGGATGACTCATAACCAATTTCCTTCCCCATCGTATGCAGTAGATCATGCATCTCAAGCCGATTATTGGAAACGGTTACCAAGCACTTATCCTCAAGATCACTTATGACAGCGTCAGCATCAGCACAGTCAGAGTTCAGAATGCTTGACACAAAATCTGCTTTCTCTGATCTAAAGAAACATGATATATCTAGAAACATGTTCTTTTGTTCAGAACCTAGCTCTTCATAACTCAATTTTAGAACCTCCTGAATCTTCCCATCCGGCCTTGTTTGCAACCTCTCCAATTTCCTAATCCAATATAATTTGTCCCTCTGACAAAGGTCAGAACCTAACAACTTCAGCGCTAAAGGATGCCCTTTGGCATAATCTAGAAACTTGTTTGAGAGATCCATAAATTCTTCTGTGGGGCAGAGGTTGTTGGAAAATGCATTCAAGCAGAAAAGCTCCAGAGCTTCCCTGTCATTCAATCTTGGAACAACATATGTTGCATCCGCGATCTTCTTCAGCAGTTTCTTGTCTCTGGTTGTCACAATGATCCTACTTCCTTCTCGGTACCATTCCCGTTGCCCAATAAGAAGTCTCACTTGATATTCACTGCTGACATCATCCAGCACAATAAACAGCCTCTTGTTTCGAAGACGGTCCTTCAAGGCTTCATGTGCTCCATCGGGAGCTCCTACGTTGAGATTTTCTTCATCCAATACCTTACCGAGGAGTCTCTGTTGCAAATGGTCTAACCCTTGTAATCTGGATTCGTTCTGAATGTTTGCAAGAAAGCAGTACCCATCAAAGAGACCGTAGTTTCGTTTATATATGACATCTGCAACAGTTGTTTTACCAATTCCAGCCATCCCAAGAACCCCAACAATTCGAAGACAACTTGAAGCATCAAAAATCAATAACTTTTCCAGTTCCTCCAAACGTGAGTCGATCCCAGGAAGACCCCGAGTTTCACATGGAGACAATTTGTTCAGCATCTTGAAAGTCTCCTTGACAATTTTGTCAACGAAGCTGCATTCCGGACTGCCAAATTGAAAAAAAAACGAGTAAAGTTAAGTCTACAATAGAGGTAAAAGAGAACAGGTCAGATGATTGAACTCCAGGAACGAATTTGGCCAGCATTAAGACCACACATGGAACTGAAATCATGTTGAGACCATGAATTTCAGAACTCAGTTTTATTTCATCCTTCCATTTTAACAAGTTTCCAAGATTATGGCTCTATGAGAACACTTTTTATATTGATGATGAACCGAACCTGAAACCAAAATAAAGAACAAGACAGTTCTGGTCATAATCCTTCCTTTTTCTTACAAACCTATACAATGGAAATAATCCTAACTTTTCATATCAGTGTAGATGGGTGAAGAAGTGCCATCACCATGTTCCTTCAACATTTCTTGAATAGTAACAGCTCAAACATTCATATTTCAGAACGAACAATGCAAACGATTCCAGATTTTTTGATGTTGTTGGTGAAGTTTCGGAATCCAAACTATGGAAATGCTAGATATGGATTTTACCTTTTCTCCGGCAGAACATAGCCGGCGATATTTGAAGCAATCTTCAGAGCTTCCTTCCACGCGGGAACTCTGTGCTGAAATCCCGGGAAACTCTCTTCAGCACTCTTGAATGGAGATCCGAATTTTCCCATCTGATTCTCCACATCGGATTTCGAAACTTTGTAGAAGATGGGTATAACAACCTGACCAAATATCTCCCTGCAATCGACGATCTTCGCGAGTTCCTCCAAGCACCATGCAGAGTTGGCATAATTCTCGGAGAAAACGACGATGGAGATCTTCGACTGTTCGATCCGGTCCAGAAGCGCAGAGAGATCGTTGCCTCGCCGGAGGTCCTCGTCGAAGAAAGCGTGGATACCTTTCCGGCAAAGGAATTCGTGGAGGTAGCAGGTAAAAACATGACGCGTGTCTGCTCCTCGGAAACTCAGGAACACGTCGTACTGCCTCCGGAAAAGATCCGACGAGGAGGAACGACCAGATGGAGACGCCATGGCGAGGGAATTGATGATAGAGCTTAAAATGATAAAGTTTTGCCCCACTCCGAGAATGATCGACTCCAACCAGTTAGTCTTCGCTGTGGGCCTTCACCATTCATTTCGGATTTTGACTATTCAACGCTATGAAACCTAGTCGCAGAATCGAAGAACAGAAGATCGATCACAGATGACATCAATGGAAGCATCAGAGGATTCAGGTTCAGGGACCGGTATGAACGCAATCGCAGGCCGATCCTCCGCCGGGGATGTTCAGTGCGAAGCGGAAAAGGAGCTTTTGTTCGAGAAATGCTTGACCTCAAGCGACGTCGGCAAGCTCCACTGCACCGTCAACCCCACGCACCATGCCGAGAAGCGCTTCCCCACCATCTCCATCAATGGGCGCCTTCTCTTATGCTTTGACGACGACGATGGCAAGTTCTGGCGATTCAGGTTCTTCTACTGGAAACATAGCCAGTCCTACGTCGTGACCTGGGACTGGAGCAAGTACGTCAAGGAGAAACATCTTCGTGCCGGCGATGTCGTTCTCTTCCATGGAGACCGTACGAACCGCTGCAGATTCTTCATCAGCTGCAGAAAACGCCGTGATGTCTCCACCGCTCCCGGAGGCGTTTCTCCATCATCCCGGAAACATCCGTCAGATGCGAATCCCCTCTCCAATCCGCCAGAAAGTGAAGGTTCTCGACCATTCCTGAGCTCGGACAAACAATTCAAAGGTCACAGTTCTGGATTACGCTCATCTCTAGAAAAGTACAAAAAAGGTAAGCGTTTTTGTAAAGTCATGATTTTTGCATGTCTTTCATTCCGTGTTTTCAGCAAAAAGAAAAAAAAAAGAACAAATTTTGCCCAGATATTCTTCATATGGGAAGGATTACTGTTGGGAGCTGATGTGTTTTTGGCTTAAGTGCTGCAGAAGAACATGTTCAGACGTGATAAGGACAAGTGTTGGTTATTTGCAGTTATATTATCAGTTTTAGATTTCAGTTATTGAAGTTTGTATTTTAAGTTTATAACTACCTGTTTCAGAAACTTATTTTATGTGTGTTGTATTTGGCTAATAAGAAGCACGTATTATTATAAGAATTCTCCTCTGTTCTTTCTGTTCCAAAAACAATCTCAAGTGCAATTGTTATCAGTGGTATCAGAGCAAACTTTTGATCTTTTTGGGTCTGTGTGTGAAGGGCTGCAGCACAATATCATGGATCAACCGGAAACTTCGATTTTTTCGAATGTTACACAATCTGCCCCTGTTTTCAATGGAGAAAACTATCAGGTATGGGCTGCAAGGATGCAAGCTTATCTTGAAGGAGCGGATTTATGGGAAGCAGTTGAAGAAGACTATGAGATTTTGCCTCTGCCTGCAAATCCTACAGTGACTCAACTCAGAAATCACAAGGAGAAGGTCACAAAGAAGGCCAAGGCGAAGTCCTGTATGTTCAACGCTGTGTCTCCTTCGATTTTAATAAAGATCATGAAGAAATCATCCGCAAAATTGATGTGGGATTACCTAAAGACCGAGTATGAAGGTGATGAGAGGCTTAGGGGTATGAAAGTTCTGAATCTGCTTCGTGATTTCGAAATGCAACGTATGAAAGGGGATGAGACTGTTAAAGATTATGCTGATCGCCTGATAGGCATAATCAACAACATCAGAATTCTTGGAACAGTCATTGGTGATGACAAGATCGTACAGAAGATCCTGGTTTCGGTTCCTGAAAGGTTTGAAGCCACGATCGCAACCCTGGAAAACACTAAGGAACTTACTGCTCTAAAATTACCGGAAGTTCTTAGTGCTCTTCAGGCGCAGGAACAAAGGAGAATCATGAGGAGTGAGGAGTCTGTTGAAGGTGCTTTGAAAGCCAAGGTAAAAGGAAAAGGGCCCAAGAAAGGGAAGAAGAAGAAGAGTCCTGAAGCGGGAAATCAGAAACAGTACGAGACAAGTGAAGAAGCAAATTCGAGCCAGAACTTTTCCGAACCTTGCAAACATTGCAACAAGAAAGGACATCCTCACTGGAGATGCTGGAGGAATCCAAATGTAAAGTGCAGAAACTGCAACAAATTGGGGCACATTGAACGATTCTGCAGAGAGAAACCTCAACAAAGGTCTGAGGCAAGAACTGCAGAGACAGGTGATACTGAAAACCTGTTTGTAGCCTCATGTTATGCTTCACATTCTGTCAAAGGTGGTTGGCTTGTGGATAGTGGATGCACAAACCACATGACAGGTGATCGAAGATTGTTCAAGAATCTGGATACAACTTTCAGCTCTAAGGTGAAGATAGGAAATGGGGATTTCATTGCTGTTGAAGGGAAAGGCGATGTGAAGATCAAAACCTCAGATGGTAATAAGGTATTATCTGAAGTTTTGTTCGTTCCCCGCATTGATCAGAATTTACTCAGTGTTGCTCAACTTATTTCAAAAGGTTACAGAGTTGTTTTCGATAAAGATGAGTGTATTATTGGACATAATACTCAAAAGTTCCAGTTCAGGATTAAGATGAGGGACAATAGTTTCTCATTCAATCCAGAAGCAACAGATTTCAGTGCCTTGAAGTCTCAGATGTCTCAAGATGACATCTGGCATAAGAGGCTGGGTCATTTTCATGACAAAGGAGTGTCATATATGATCAGAAATCAATTGATGGATGGCTTGCCTGAAACTCAGACGAATTCTGTAGTTTGCAAAGTCTGTCCACTTGGAAAACAGAAGAGGTTGCCTTTCAGCTCGTCTAACTGGAGAGCAAATGAGAAACTTCAGTTGGTACACACTGACGTATGTGGACCAATGCCTGAAGAATCACTCACAGGTAGCAAATACTTCATAATCTTCATTGATGATTTTTCTCGCATGTGCTGGATATATTTTTTGAAGCAGAAGACTGAAGTGGATGAGGTTTTTGAGAAATTCAAGACTGAAGTTGAAAATGAGTGTGAGAAGAAGATTAAAACAATCAGGTCTGACAACGGAACGGAGTATACCTCGGGAAAGTTCAGAGAAATCTGTGAAAAGGCTGGGATTAAACACCAATTCTCGGTGCCATATTCCCCACAACAGAATGGTGTTAGTGAAAGGAAAAATCGAACTATAGTGGAAATGGCAAGATGTCTGATGTACGAAAAGAATCTGCCAAAGCGTTTTTGGGCTGAAGCATCGAGTACAGCTGTGTTTCTTCTAAACAGATTCTCTACAAAGGCCCTGCAAAAGTCAACTCCTTATGAGGTATGGTTTGGAAGGAAACCAACCTGTTCTAACTTCAAGATTTTTGGATGTATCTGTTTCTCGTTTGTTCCAGATATCAAAAGGGACAAGCTGGACAAGAAATCTGAAGTTGGGATCTTTGTTGGATATAGCTTGGTCTCAAAAGCTTATCGAATCTACTTACCTAACTCTAACAAAGTTATAGTAAGTAGAGACGTTAAGTTTTTGGAATTAGATGAATGGGATTGGTCATCAAATGCTGTACTTTCCAGAAATGGTCAAGAAGTAGAACCAGAACTTCAGGAATCAGATGGTGGTTCACAATCTGAAACCGAAGAGCAAGATGGAATGATTGATAATCAACCTGATGATGAGGGTCCTGTTCGAGGAACCAGAACATTGGAAGATATTTACAATAGGTGCAATGTTGCTGTACTTGAACCCTCTAACTTCGAAGAAGCCAAGAGAAATCAGAAATGGATGTCTGCAATGGAGGAGGAGTTAAAGATGATACAGAAGACTGGAACCTGGAAGCTGGTTGACAAACCTGTTGATAAGAAAGTAATTGGAGTCAAATGGGTTTACAAGACAAAGTACAATCCTGATGGTTCTGTCAACAAATATAAGGCTAGACTCGTGGTGAAGGGTTATGCACAGGTCTGGGGGGTTGATTTTTCAGAAACGTTTGCACCTGTAGCTCGGTTGGACACAATACGGTTGTTATTGACATTAGCGGCGCAATTGAAGTGGAAAGTGTTTCACATGGATGTGAAATCAGCTTTCTTAAATGGTGAGCTGAAGGAAGAGACGTATGTCGAGCAACCTGATGGCTTCAAAGTTCAAGGTATGGAAGACAAAGTTTATCTGCTAAAAAAGGCGCTATATGGATTAAGACAAGCTCCAAGAGCCTGGTATGAAAGAATTGATCAGTGTCTGACTGGCTTGAAGTTTAATAAGAGTCACAGTGAGCATACTTTATATATCAAGAGAGGAAATGGACTGGTAGTGGTGTCTCTTTATGTTGATGATCTCCTGGTAACCGGAGATAATGCAGAAGAAATCGAAAGTTTACAGAAACTGTTAAGCCAAGAATTCGAGATGACAAATCTCGGACTCATGTCACAGTTTCTGGGACTCGAGATTGTGCAAGATGAAGAAGGCATCTTCATTGGACAGCAAAAGTATCTGAAGCAAATTCTGAGAAGATTCAATATGGAGGACTGTAAAATCATGAAGACACCTCTGGATCCAAAATCAAGAATGCAGAAGTTCGAAAACAGTGAAGCTGTAAGTGAAGTTCATTACAGGAGCATGATCGGTTGCCTAATGTATTTGACAGCCTCGAGACCAGATATTCTCTTTGCTGTTAATACATTGTCAAGGTATCTGAATTGTGCTAGGAAGGAGCATCTGGTTGCTGCGAAAAGGGTGCTCAGATATCTAAAGGGGACATTAACTTTCGGACTCAGGTTCTCTGGAAGTAAAGAACTCAAGTTAGAAGGTTTTGTCGACAGTGACTGGGCGGGATCTGTGGATGACATGAAGAGTACGTCTGGTTATTGCTTCAGTTTGGGATCTGCAATTTTCTCATGGAGCTCAAAGAAACAGGGAGTGGTTGCACAATCTACCGCTGAAGCAGAATTCGTTGCTGCAACTGAGGCAGTAAATCAAGCTATCTGGCTAAGGAAGATTTTGAATGATCTGTCATTCGAGTGCAGGAAACCAACTGAGATCTTAATTGACAATCAGGCTGCAATTTCGATCTCAAACAATCCAGTGTTCCATGGGAAAACCAAACATTTCAAGGTTAAATTCTATTTTC